TACTTTATACCTACTACCCACCCTTCTCACCCCACCCTGAAATTAAATAAGCTTTAATGATAATTTGTTAAACCTGTAAGCTTTCCACTGAGGAAGCATAAATTATTTTTTATCTTACTTTTTAGAGGTATGGTTTAAAAGGGATAATTATAGCTAAATGCCTGAGTAATGTTAATTTCAAAGACTTAAAAACATTTTTTGGTGCTTTATGGAGATGGCATAGCTTGCAATGAAATGGCAGTGTTGTGGAATCATGTGACCACTAGAGGTCACATTATACTTTTATATTATTTAAAATCTTTCTTGCTAGTGTCTGTTGGTGAAGTCTACTTCAAAGAAAGATGGAAAAAGTCCATCATCGCTTCCTGCAAAAATTTAGCTAAAAAAGAAAAAAGAAACTTAAGCCAGATTATTACAAGAACCATCATTATATGTCATGGTTTTATGTTTGACAGTTTGTTACTTTGTTAGTTAGAAAATCGATTTGTATTATTGAAGTTTACAATGAGATCTTAGTACCCGAGTTAAAAACAGAAACTTCCTACTCTCAGTCATAGAATAATTTGAACTTTTTGAAATTACATCTGAATAATTACATATAGGTGTGGAATCATATGAATATTTCTCACATATTAATAAAATTTGAAGTTATGCACACTCAAAGACACAACTGACTGACACAAGTACTTAAATTCTCTGGACTTTCAATTTCCAAATACATAAAATGTGAATAATAGCTATGACACTATTATGGTGAATCTCAACATTTAAGTGAAAGTTCTGTGCAAATGATACAGATCTCTGCAAATGGTGAAGACAGCAGCCTAGGTAAACATGGTCCTTGTCTCCTCCCACAACACATCAAAATTAGTGCTAAACTATAACCATCATTCAGAGCCACCTGAAATCTGGCTGAATGGAAGTCCTACAACAAGGGAATTAAAGAAGAATCAGCATGAGACTGGTAGGAAAAGTGGAGGCAATGAGCTGGCTGGTCCCACACCCACATGTGGCAGTGTGGCAGATAAAAATCGGGAGGGACATCTTGGCTGTGGAGGCCGCCCTGAGGAGTGAGGAGTCCAGACCCACACCAGGCCCCCAGTCCAGGGTTCCAGTGCCAGGAAGCTAAGTCCCCATAACTCCTGGCTGTAAAAACCAGCATGGATTGTGGCTGAGGGAACAGAGGGCTTCTGGAGTCCCAGCCAGTTCCTCTTAAAGGGCCAGCACATAGACTTACTCAGACCTACTCTTTTTGAGTTTTAACACTGGGGCAGCAGCTCAAAAGGCACCACTCAAAAAGCACCAGAGACATAGAGGAGGATCGGAATTATCTGGCATCATGGCAAAAGCTGAGGGGACAGCATTCTCCCAGACAAATGCACTGGCAGAGGCCACTGTTCCTTCGATGAGCCCTCCCCCTACTGAGCCAGCAGGTGGGCACCATGTCTGAGACTCAGTCAACCTGGCTCACATTCTTCGCCCCACCCTGGTGGTTCCTTGAGACCCCACCCCACCCAAGTTTTGGGCCCACCCAAACTATTTCCAGTGGCTTTTCCGTACAAATGACCTGTCTTGGCTTATGCTTCAGATTTTCCTAAAATCTCTCAAACAAGCAGCATCTGGCCTCACTGTGCCCCTTTTGCTAAATGAACCAAGGCCCAGCACTAGCAGTAGCCTGCCTTTCTTTGCAAGTTGGCTGCTCCTGGGCAACTCAAGCCCAGCATAGTTATCAGCCATCTACAGATTGCTTGGTAGCTCATGCCAGGTGGCCCTGGGCAGAACACAGGTAGCAGCTGACCTTGGTTTACATTTCCCAGGAGATCCCAGGGCCAGTGCACCAAGTGGACAGTTTCGGACCACATCAAAGCATCACCATTCAACCACCTCCTTAAGTGACACACTCAAGGGGCAGACTCAGCGGGCATTAGAGCTCTGCTAAAGTAAATACTGCTCTGTGGGGTATTCCCCTACACAGCTGATGCACCACAGTGGTCAGAGATTGGTGGTCAGTGGTCACAGCCAGCGAATCCTTGCAGCTGATTGGCCTGGGGGTAAATTTATCCCATTGACATGCCAACAACAGTCAAGGCTCAGCTACAACAGGATGGTGTGCACAGGCCCACACAGGGGGCACACCTTGAGTGCCTGGCTTGGCTGACCGGGGAGGCTATGCCACTGAACACTACAAACACCTACTACATCAGGCCACTCTGTGAAGTCTTGAGAGACAGCAGCTCTGCCTGATAGGTTGAAACAAACACAGGGAGCTGCCAAAATGAGGAGACAAAGAAGCATGTCTCAAATGAAAAAAGTAAACAAAACTCCAGAAAAAGAACCAAACAAAACGGAGACAAGCAATCTGCTAGATGCAGAGTGCAAAACACTAGTTATAAGGATGCTCAATGAACTTAGTGGAAACCTCAATATCATAAAGAAGGACCAGTCACAAAAGAAGGCTACACTAACTGAAATGAAGAAGAATATACAGGGAATCAACAGGGGAGTAGATGAAGCTGAGAATAAAATCAGCAATTTGGAATATGAGGAAGCAAAAAACACCGAATCAGAAAACCAAAAAGAAAAAAGAATCCCCTCAAAATGAGGACAGTGTAAGAAGCCTGTGGGACAACTTCAAGCACACCAACATTCACATCATGGATATGCCAGAAGAAGAACAGAGAAAGCAAGAAATTGAAAATCTATTTGAAAAAAAATAGTGAAAGAAAACTTTCCTAATTTGGCGAAGGAAATTGTCATACAAGTCCAGGAAGCACAGAGAGTCCCAAACAAGTTGAACCCAAAAAGGCCCACACCAAGACATATCATAACTAAAACGCACAAAGTTAAAGACACAGAATCTTAAAAGCAGCAAGAGAAAAGCAATTCGTTACCTACAAGGGAGCTTTCATAAGACTGTCAGCTGATTTCTCAAAAAAAAAACAACAAAACTTTGCAGGTCAAGAAATACTCAAAGTGATGAAAAGCCAGTATCTACAACCAGGATTACCCGGCAAAGCTATCATTTTGAAGGACAGGTAAAGACCTTCCCAGACAAGAAAAAGCTAAAGGAACTCATTACCTCCAAACCAGTATTATATGAAATGTTAAGGGGTTTTCTTTAAGAAGAAGGGAAAAAAAGATAAAAATACAAACAATAACATGGATAAATATATATCTATTAACAACTGGGTCTAAAAAACAAAATGAGCAAGCAGAACAGAAATAGATTCATAGATAGGGAAAATATGTTAATGGGAAGGTGGTTGCGGGGATGGGTGAAAAAGGTGAGGGGATTAAAAAGTACAAATTAGTAGTTACAGAATAGTCATGAAGATGTAAAGTACAGCATAGGGAATATAGCCCATAATAGTCTAATAACTATGTATGGTGTCAGATGGGAGTGAGATTTATTGGTTGATCATTTACTAAGTTATGTATTGTCTAATCTCTAGGGTGTATCCCTGAAACTAATATAATAATGTATGTAAAATGTAATTGAAAAATAAAAATGATTTAAAAATTAAAAAAGAATCACAAATGGGGCCTGGCTGGTATAACTCAGTGAATTGAGCAAAGGGTCACCAGTTCAATTCCCAATCAGGGCACATGCCTGGGTTGCAGGCCAGGTCCCCAGAAGGGGACACATGACAGGCAACCACACATTGCTAGTTCTCTCCCTCTCTTTCTTCCTCACTTCCCTTCTCTCTGAAAATAAATAAAACCTTAAAAAAAAGAGTCACAAATGGTACAGCGTGTTATCGGATAACTGCTATTGTTTTCGGCCCACTAAAGGCACATTATAGGAAGGATTAGAGCAACCTCTAAAATTTTATCCTGACTTTTCTGGTAGAATAGATTATTAGTTTATATTTACTTTTCTGAAATAGCCGTTGTGGCTAATAGTGGGTATATTTTACATGGGATATCTTTAAGATACTTTATTCTAGAAAGTGTCCTAAATACTAACTTGCAGCTGTGTGGGAAATTTATGGATGGGGAATGCATTCTGCTGTGATGCTTGATGTTACTGTTTTCATTTAGCTACAGCCTTAAATATGGAACTGCTCTCTGACTTTAAAAAATGTGTACTGATTCCTGTCAGTTTCATATTTTGACCAGGTTTTGCAGAACCAGTGGGTTTAATGGAATTTAATTAATTAATTAATTAATTAATTAATTAATTCAATGAATTTAGGCATTGCTGTAGTCTGCTTTTACCTATAATTTTGGTAATGATGTGGATCATATCAGAGTTGAAGTGATAGATACTAAGGTAACCATTAGATGGGCCAAATTATTATGATAAGGTGATACTTGAAATGTTTTCATTATGAATCAGCCACAAATAGCAAAGGTAGCCTGAACTACTGTGTTTATAGCCATGCACCGAGGACTTGATGGGCAATTTTAGCATTTAAATGCAAACAGTTTTTTAACTTTTGTAGGTGGAAATGATTGTGAGCATAAGTAGAACACTGTTGGCTCAAACACAGGGAATATATATGAATACACATACACATACACACACATATATATGATGATAATCTCTTCTTCACTGTAAATATTTGATTTTTACTGCTCCCACTCCTACCTTCCCGTTGTTGTGAGTGGTGCTGATGGCGCCAGAGCTCAAATGCAGGTCTGCCTGCAGGACTCTTAAATTTACCAGACTGCTGCTTTTCAAAGCCATTTGTCATTATAGCCTGCACTGTGTTTTCTGTATATAGGATGTTTTCTAATAAATACATATTAGATTCTTTTCTCATTTTATGAGCTTCATTGATAAGAATCCCCACTGAATGTCTGTCTTGAATGGAAACCATCATGTAGGTTTTGGGCTCTGAGTCCCTGCTCAAACATTTATTCTTGGATTTTGTGCAGGTCCCTTCACCTCTGAGTTGTTTTGTTTTTTTTGCTCAATATATTTTTTAATGTTTTAATTTTTAGTTTTTATTTAGGGAGGTGGCTGTGTTTAACATTTTTATTTTTTTTCCATGTAGATAACAGACAAGAGAGTGTCCAGAAGACATGCCATTCTTGAGGTGGTGGGCAGTCAGCTTCGAATCAAACCGGTAAATATGATTCATTTTAACTTTTTGTCTCTCACCTTTTCCCTGCTTCTGGTTAGAGGGGCTTATTTTCTAAGGTTATAGAAATAGGGAGTTAATGTCCAAATATATCCTTCTTATTGCTGGAAGATAATTGGGAGATAAAGATCAAACTATTCAAACTACCTAAATTTTCCCATAGAGCAGTGTTACATTTACATAGTTAGAATTTCAATGAAAGGTGACCAGCAGTTCACATGCACATTGTTATTGTGTCTGTGACTGAATATGACGAATAAGGTCCCACACGAACTCTGTAATTGTGGGGCAGGTTAGTGACCACAGTCAACTGAGTGGCACAGAGTTGTATTTTAACAGGTTTTTATGCCTGTTGTGTGTAGAGAGTTGATTATTTCTAAAATTTAGATCTGTCCAACTTTAGGATTTTAAAAGTAATTTTGATTTGAAAGTTCTTGTTAAGGGTGAGAATTCTAATTACTTGCATTTTAGTTCGAGCACTGTTGTGTTGTAGGGATAGCAGCTTCCAAGAATTTACTGTGTGCTTATTCCTTTTCATTTGCAGAATCTATTGTTTAGGAGTATAAACTGTGTGTATGAGGGTCCATTTATTTCAGACTTGATGCTTTGGTGTTAACTTTATTATTATGAAATGAATTTCATTAATTGGTAGCATTTAAAAACCTACATGTATTTGCACCTTAGATGTACAACTGCCTGTTGTGGTGTGAGTTCTTTCCTTTATGCAGGCAGTACTTTTATGATCCTGTGTCGAACCATTCCCAAATTTGAGATGCATCCTTAAAAAAAATTCCAGCACTGGGAAAAGTTTTGAAGTAAGATGAATTCATACCATCTCACCCTTGAACAAATGCTTTTTAAGAGGGTTTGTATCATATGTCTTTGTGTCTTAAAAAGTGCAGTGACCCGTAGTCAACATCCCTGTGGGGCCCCTTCACTTACCCTCAGTTACGTGTCTCCCCATCCTCTCCAACTGGCGCATTCTGCAGAGTAAGACTTACCAGATCATGAACTTGTTCAGTACAGGAACACTGACCGGTTTTCTCATCTCTCATATCTAGCAGTATGCCTGGCACGTAGTAGGTAATTAATATTTATTATATGTACAAGTAAGTGCTGCAGTGGGAACTCTATGTGGCATTTCTAGGAGAGGGGATATCATGGATTTTTATAAAGTCAATATTTTCCAGTACCCAATTACTAACACTTTTACAGTAAATAACTATGTATTTTATTGAAGGTTGATTTTATTGTTACTGAATAAAGAAGCTTGATTTTATTGTTACTGAAACATGATGTGGACTTCGGCCCATGGGGTCCGTGGGTCGTGGCTGCAATGAACAAATTCACATGGGCTGCAGAAGTCCTGTGGAGAAAAGGGATGGCATGGCCACTCTCTAAGTGAGAGAGGGGGCCCCGACCCCTGCCTGGACAGGCTTCTTTTGCTTTTCTGGGTACATTACATCAGGATGGTCCTCATTTACTATGCACAGGTTTGCTGTAGGTGGTTACCTTTTACAGATAACAAAGGAAAGAATGTTGATGATTACTTCAAAGAAAAGGATGTTGCAGATCAAGGGGGAAAGTGGTTGAACTGGTTACACTCCATACTTGGGAAGTTTAGCACAGACTTTAGGAAGCCATTTTAAAGATACACAGTAAATATTTGCTGCCTCAATCCAGGGTGAGGGAGCTTTAACAAAAGTAAGCCTCATAGCCGCCTAGGTACAATGCAGGCCTGATTCCCCATGGGAAAACCTATCTGTGGGTGTGGGTCCTGTGTGCTGACTCGCTCCCCACTGGATTTTCCAAGTCAGGGGCTGGACTACATTCCCCACGCCACGCCGAACAGTTCCCTATAGAAACACATTGAGATAAAGAATATAGGAATCCCTAAATTCCTATTCTGCCTGCCTTTTCTGACTGAACAATTATTTTATATTTACTTTTTTCAAAATAGCAATTATGGTCAATAATACACCTGGCTTTTCTACTGGAAGATCTATGACTTAATAATACTTACTTTCTACAATATCTATAGTTACTGCTGTAGAATTCATGTTAAATGAAACAAGGAACTTATAGTGAGTACTTCACTCTTAGACAAAGATTTCTAGTTATTTTTGATGCCAAAGTAGAGATTATTAGCTTTTGCTGTAGGTTTATAGACTTTCCTAGATTTGTGTTGTTAGTTATCAAATCCTGTTTTTGCAGATAGGATTTGGGTGAGAACATAAATGGTACAGACACTTTGGAAAAATAGCTTGACATTATTTCCTAAAGATAAAGGCATGTTTTGTCTGCAGGTTAGACCATACACTCACATACACATGTGTGCACACACCCCAAGAGATATATACAAGAAGCAATATGAATTTCTATCAACAGTGGAACTGATAAATATGAGGGAAAACAAAAAATCAAAAAACAAAAAACCAGAATTATCTTCTGGATGGAGGGCCCCCGTAGTATAGGCTTCCCTGGCTTGGTGAATGTTCTGGGAACCCATCTGTGTCAGTGCACCAGCTGGTGGTGTGAGAGGGTGCGTTCAGCTTCAGTGAATTTTTTTGAAGACTCTTTCACTGGGTTTGCCCATTTCAGGATGGGTGCTCTCCAAGTGCACCTGCCCACACCACTCTGAGTGCTCAGCACTTTTTAACCAAAAACAGCATCACTCTGTGCCTCACGCTCCCTATTCACCAGAGCTCCCCAAGCGACTTTTTTCCCCTCTCGGGTAAAAAAAGTCCTCAAATGGAAAAATTATGCCGATGTGGAAGAGGTGAAACAAAAAATGGCAAAAGCACAAAAAGGCATCAAAATCGACAAGATCAAAAACTTTTCAGCAGTGGAAAAACATCTCAATAGGTATATTGCATCAAGTGGAGAGTACTTTGAAGGTGACTGAAGTTTAAACATGTAAGAATAAATACATAATTTTTTATAAATAAATTCCAGACTTTTTGGGGTCCCCCCCTTGTATATTGTGATGTAATCATTTAATGAAATAGACTATAACAGATGATAATAGATGATAAATTCAGGGAAAGCATGAAAAAACGTGGATTAAAATTAGGAACATCATAATGAATGACACAAGCAAGCATTGGAAGAATATGGCTCCAACTATATAAAATTTAAAATCCTACAAAATAAATAATATATTTAGGTTCATAAACATAGGTAGTAAAATCATAAAGAAAATAAAGGACGTGCCAAATGCAAACATCAGGATAATACTGACCTTTCAGGGAACTGAGAGGAACAGAGTAGAGAAAAACTCACAGGGACGTCAAAGGTAACGGCAATACTCTTTGTTCTTAAGCTGAGTGGTGGGTCCATATATCTTACATGTCTTATGTCTTTAAACTATTATTATGGGGCATTTACAACATTAAAAAGGTGTGAAGAAAAGCACAATGTACCACAGTTATTTCTGTAATGTCAAATTATCAAACATCGGGACACATGAAAAGGTGTATTTAGTTTTAAGGAAATGTATTAAAGTTACACTACTAGTCCTGGAATTTGATTTGTTTTAGAAAAATATTTAATTGGGTTTTGGATTTCATTTCAGGAATTATTATACTTACATTATACTAGTTAAAGGAAAGCCACTTCTTGTAGTTGGTGATACACATAAAGGTCTTTTGCTCTATGTAATTAGTGTTTGATTTCCTGATTACATTAATATAGTTTCAGTAAAATGCCTATTCTCTTGCAATTGATTTATTTATTTATTCACCTACTTTAGGTGTACCTACAAGGTGCAATTGAGAGAAATTCTAAAACTGACTTTAATTGTTAATAGAAGTTTTAAGATCTTTAAATTAATGAGAATGAGATGAACAGGTGACGTCTAGTTCATTCATTTTAATGTGTGCTAAATATATTTTATTTGATGTGCTAAGGCTATTCATTTATACAACTAATAAAGTGTTGAGAGAAATTTTAGCTTAAAAACATTTTAAAATTATGTAAATAAATACTGCAAATGTTTTATCATGATGATCTCTTCTGTATGCTGTGTACTCCAAATTATGTTTAAGTGATTAAATATTTTTTCTGTTTTCTTTCAGTTTGGAAAGCTAATCAAATAAAACTGTAGCTTTGACTATGATAGATGAATATAAATAAGCAATTACTAATTTGTACTTTCAAATTGGATGAATTTGTCCTTTTCTCCTCTAATATTTCCCTTTTAAAAAGTGTGTAGCTCTCACTAGTTCTTGGAAATTGTGCATAAGGAGATAATGTTAGCTTTTTTCAAATTCAGTCTACACTCTGGTACCAGCAGGGAGAAAACACATTATCAAGGCGAAGTGATAATATTCTCTAAATGACTGTGTCACCAGTGGTTAGTTACATCCTTGGGGTAAATTCAGAGTTGTCAGTGCTTTTATTTCATTTTAGTAGAATCTTACTGTTTTTGGTTCTTGGTGATTGAGGGAGAAGTTATATAGCCACATATAAATTGCAAAAGATGTATTTTTTATTCATTTGGTATTAATCCTCAAAGTATACATCTCTGGGTGACTCTGTTTTTTTTCTATTGTGCAATAAAATTCTTGAATTGTAATTGTTTTTCTTCCTGTGAAATTATGAGTGTACTTGTAAAATAGCTATAAAATAATATAATACAATAGCTTTTCCACAACTTTTGTAAAAGAGAGGAAAAATGCTTTCTAAATTAAAAAAAAAAACACTGAAAATGAGAGGAACTCTTATTTTGGGTATATACCAGTCTTTTAAAAATATTTAATGATAACTATAAGACAAAGCTATAGAAAATTGATTTGTATTTTAGTTCCACTTGTTCAGGGATAATGTATCCTTTGCACACTTCTAACATTACAGCATAATCTATTAAGTTCACCTCCATAGTCCTATGGGTATGTTAAAAGGCACATACCAATGATATCCCTCTGATATAGGCAGCTCATAGCTTTTATTCACTGGGTTGCCAGTATTTTGCCTGCTCTTGTCTA